GTAACAGAAACACAAGACTAAACAACTATAATATAAAACAAGAGTAAAACTAATAATAAAGAGTAGTAATAAGCTACCCTACAATCTACAACTTAGTGTAATCATTAACATACACTACTAACAACATGCCTTGTCTTATAACTGTCTACCAAGACTATCACCTCCCCTTCTCTACACAACTCCCTCACCTACATTACAAATGGCTGAACCAAACTCATCTCTACCTGCTAGGCTGAAACTACATAGCAAACTATACAGGACAATACTATGAACAACAGTTCAACACATTTGCAACTACATATAGTACATCTTTAACACTAAGGTATTAATATCTACCACCCCTACACAGTAGAGGAGAACACTTTCAATTTAGTATTAAGTAGGCTTTAACATTAAACACAGTAGAAGAATTGGACTTCCTATGTCTCACATATGAACTCAGTCATTACTTACAGTATCAAAACATTCTTAACGTCAACCACAACTATAGTGTCAAAGTCTGTTTCAAAATAGCATACACAGTACAACAAATCTCCTTGTTTAGGTTACAATTCAGTACATTCATGGCCCTACATATGACTAGTGTACAAGCCACTCAAACAGTGTCATACAAAATGTTATACTACAACTAGTACATTCAAGATACAACAGCTACCTACTAGCATACAGTTAACTATTACACAAGCATGATACAAGACATAATACAAAAATGGTACAATACTCATCCACTCATGTAACTACCCTAACTACCCCCTCTGAACAAACAAAGCCCTTTGATTACAGAAATATAGGACTCAGATTAGGAACCAGAAGAAAACAAGTGAGAAATGACTCTACACACACTAGCACCACTATACACCTCACTACCACATATCCTACCACCACCAATGAGTACACTACTTACAGTATCACACTATGAGTAGGATATTAGAATGCTAGAAGCCTTACATTTACCTACTATCCTATTACCTTGAGTACCACAATAAAAATACTACTATAATAAAATCTTTTTGTTGTAGAAGATTTGTCAAAGTCTGTTTCGAAAAAGACTATAGTAACTAAGTTCTCAAAGACTTTGTAAAACAAAAAAAATACAAAGCTCAGAACACCTAGTATAAAAGTCTCTCAGAAATAGACTTACAAATCCACATACACAAAAAGAAATTATTATCTAACAACAACAGCTGTCAAATACAATTACTAGAGTGATACTAAGAGGAATTCCCTACAGTTCTTGTATTAGAACCACTACAACCCCAAATCCATCAGTTGTATGAAAGTAGAAATTATTACTACCTACTACATTAAGGTATGCAACCAGTAGCCATAATATCACTAATCATACAACAGGCCAAACTTGGGAATCAAGGGTATATTCTATTCAGATCTATGGTACACTCTATCCAGAACCTGAACCCCAATCTCAGTCTCAACTAAGAACTGCCAGAACACTAACATTGTATTGTCTATAGTATTTGTTGCATTCAAGCCTAGACAGGGACTCAAACACAGAAACATCCTAGAAGGGAAATCTTACAGCTGATCAAGCTGTGTTAGTATGCTTCAAGACAAGATCAACACTAAATACTTACTATATAAGGCTTATACTACTCTCACTTATATAGAAATATTTTGACTGCTACAATGGCCATCCCTAATAGGGCAAGTAAACCAATACACAGGAATAGAATCCACAATTGTATGATGACACCCTAATGTGGTTGTAAAGACTTTACCAACTGTACTATTAGGGCTAACATCTAAACAAAACATTCCAAATGACATTCATTACCTTAGAAGTAATAGGAGAAGCAATAATTTGCAAAACAAAAACATCTTTACCCACAAATACAAATCTGTCCTCATTAGGTGATTAACATTAGTTAATCACTTGAGAAGGGGGTAGTGAAAGGATTCAGAAGGATTTGTAATAGTACACAATTAAGGAAACCAGAATTCACTGTAAGACACACAGAGACTATGCTAGAAATACAATCATGTGACACAACTTCAAGAATGTATACAAGTAATAATGACATATCAAATGTGCTAGGATTAACAAATCTGCAAAACAAGAAGCATACAAATAGAGAGAAATACTATGCAAGTAGTAGCATACTAAATGTTATTCAATCAACTGTAACATCAACTACAACATGTGATACACAAAGGAATAAAATGAGAAAGGAAAGAAGTATCATTCAAGATACATATATATAAGATATACAACCCAACAATACACAAGGAATGTGAAGCAGCACAATTACATCTATCAATGAAAACATACTGAGAATACAAAGAAAACACAGTACAAATATTTGCTTTAATATAGAGTACCATCTGAGACAACAGAACACACAGCTGTGCTGTATTTACAACCAGTCATTACAAAGGACCAACAAAGTAATATAATATTAAAGTAATATACAGAGACTACTATCTAATAATACTAGCAGGACACAAACACTACAGATCTATAGAACTTAGATCTGAAGACCCTTATGTACTCAACAAATGGTGTAAAGTAGGCAAGCCTTACACAAAGGTCATTATACTACACAGACACACAATGACAGAGCCACCCAGAACTCAGAACTAATGGTACCAATCATGAAAAGGCTAATTAAGCTTAACTAAGGAAAAGAAGTGCTACCAAGGAAGTAAACATAATGGCTGTGTAAGAAGCACACAGTACAAAAGATCTAACATAGATCACTACCTCAAAACAGAAATAGCTAACACCTTGAACACACAAAATCACTAATACACATCCTATAGAGTATATAGCAACATACTAAAAATATTGTGACATAGTACACAGACCATCCAATAAACAGAACTACTCAACTTGCAAAGAAATAGGAGGATAAAGGAATAATTAGAGTAGTATAAAAAGCACTTCATGTATTGTGTAAGGAGCATTGTACTCAATAACAGTTTATTTGAGGACAGCTTGTAAACTAGCTGTAATCCACTCATCTCTCCTAATAAAACTCTTTACACAAAAACACTACTCTATTCACCTTGAAATACAAATGTGTTAAACTACTCTTAAGGGCATTAACTCCCCTTCTGCTGAGTGCAAGTACTATCAACACTCCTAGGGATATACTCCTAGTTGAGCAAAGATAGAGGTTCGCGTCTGTCTATTACTGCGCGCATCATTTTCTAGCAATCTTTTTGCGAGGTTTGCCAACGTTGCGGCGCGTCCAACATTTATCAGTACATCAGTTCCTTCCACCTGGGTACGAGACATTGCAGTACAACTTGCCGAACTTCGACATCCAGTTATGTGGATACAACTATGAAGTTCAAACGATGCCTGCATTCAATGAGAAAATTTATAACATTCCGAATCCCCCAACAGGCCCGGACAAAGTTGGTGTGATGTACTGTTTGGCATAACCGCTTCGATACTGATAGGAATCTGCAGGACGCAAATTTTATCGGCCCCTCATCCGAGACGGACCAGAAGTCATTGCCGATATTTGTCCGCCAGTGTAACGATTGCACTCTTGTGCTGAGCGCGCGCAAGTGTGCTCCTTGCTATAAAGGTATTGTGGGTGCTTGTAGATGCTTTTTTTCGTTATTAGTTAGCCTACTTGTATCTACTACACGTGTAACCGCATATATAAAGGGTTTTCGGGCTAAGGGTTAGGGGATTCTTTTCCCCTTCTCGATGCTCGATTACTGATTATCCCAGTCAGTGTATTGAGTGCGCTGGTAAAGAAGAGAATTTTCCCTCATGTAAGGCTATTTTACATATCCTTACAGCCAGGCTCTGTAGATAATCAGAGAGACAGAGAATACAGAGGCAGACACCGTCCAAGCTGCCTTCAAGGCTCTAACAATCATTATTTGTGACTACTCATCATCACAGGTGAAGAAGAAAGATCTATGCCATTCTAAGGAATTTTGCAAACAGTAGTAAGTAGTAAGTAACACATTCATGTGATGTATTACCTAATGCAGACACTGTATTCACGCGTGCCAGCATCTATTACTTAGTAATAAAGTTGCTCCCAATCGCTTGCTCATAAGCACCATCACAACTCTTCCTCCTAGTTGGCACTTTTGGTGGTCTACTATACAAAATACAAGGAAACAATATGAAAGCAAAAAAGCGCCCTGGGAGACTGATTGTGGTCTGGTTTGCACCAGAATGCAACATGTAAGCAGATCATTGTCAGAGTCTCAGCTAGACACTAAGTCAAATACAATACATTAGGCAACACAGTGACCTACAGACAACCAATGTATATAAGTTTGTAGACAAGTTGCCAAAGGATAAAGACTGTATTGTGATACATCAGTGTTATGGACTATATTTCTGTACAGGGATTACACCTCTTGTTGTAGGTTCACAGGCAACGGGCAGGTCCTTAACCATGTAACTACTAGTCCCAAATGTAGCGAGTGCTGGTTAGGGACGAATACTTGGTGGAATGAGATCATTAGTGCTCACAACAATGCGCGCGTCAGAGCAACTCCGAGATGCCCTTATGTTCTACTCAACCAAAAATCAAATATAATAGTCAGCATGAATAATAAAAAGCATGACATGTGAAGATTCAATTGACGTACCCAAGCAATCCGAATGAACTTGCTAACAACATAAACTCGATCATGCGGGTTAGTCAACGCAACCTCTGACACAACGAAATTCGCAACAAGGTTGAACCGTGCTCTCGCAGCAGAAAGGACGTTAACCTTGCCCTTTCCACGCAACTCTGCTTTCCTCCTCCGATCTCGCAAAAATTGCATCCAATCTCGTACATTGAAATCTTCCGTGGTTGACAACCATTCATCAGAAACAAGTTCCTCAAATTTGATTCCGAGGAAGATCTCTTTGTTGATGACGGCGAAGTGTTGCGCGAGCAACTCAGCTTTGAAATGCAAAATGAATGAGCGATGAGAGGGAGTAGCTGGCACTTTCGCGATGGAAAACGTTGGGTGGCCTGCCCGCTGAGGCGGAGATGATTTCGGATTTGATTCATTACCCGTATTTCGGGATGGGAGGCGGCTGGGGGGGGATCTCTTCTGGCACAGCTTCGTCGATCCTCGGCTTCGCCTCGGACGTAGGGTATCCAACATGAGCATTCATCTGGTGCTGTCTGCCTCGGAGTTGGCGTCACAGGCTCCAGACCGATATGTCCATTAGTACCAATCGACAGATTAGTCGGACGTTCAGAATCTGTCGATGACCGCGGAAGAGACACCGTCACATCCTCCTCGGAGAACGAAGGATCCTGTCTCCTGTTCTCCGAACCATACTCATCATCAGAAACATACGTAGCATCATCATCCACGTCTTCTTCCTCATCAGGAGACAAATTCCGAGGCTGTTCGTCACCGAAGTCACCAGCAGCCATCCGCTCTTGGATAGTCCGTACCCACCCATCTACCTTTGCTTCCTTATGCCGTTGCTTATTCGGGTTAATCTGGCCTTCAAGTCTGCGAAGTGCAGCTTCCGCGTCACCCACATCTTCCTCATCATCGGAAAGATCGTCAATCAACGCATTGACCTGCCATTGCTGTAAGGCGTTCCCGAGTCTCCGCGGTGATGAGACTGATGAACGTGCAGAATCTGGTTGCTCCGACATGGCAACGGAAGCTCTGGAGATTATCCCCATGGACGAGACACTAACGACTGAACGATGCACGAACTCGAAGTCGCGACGGTTTGGCAACCGTTTCGTAGGACGCAAGCCAGGTGGCATGGCAGGACCACTCTTCTCAGATGAGTTATCGGACAGATAGTCAAGGTCGTCAATAGACACTACGTCCGGGAACAATCGCTCCTGCCTAGGTATGGGATTACCCAAGAACGACGTAGTCTCAAACGAACGAAGGGAACCAGATGAACCAGACCGGATCGATTCTGCGGGTTCCGAGGAGCGTACGCGAGATAGAGACTTATGCACGAAGCCTCCCGCTGGGCCTTGGGACAAAGTAATGTCTCCGTTGGAGGCAGGACTGTCAGGTCGGAGCTCGGCACGTGATGCTAGCGGCGTTCTTGTTGCAAGTTCAGTGTCCTGAGGCGATGGTGTCGGGGAAGGAGATGAAGGCCGAGGCTCTTCTTGTGTACCATTAGAAGCCACTGACACGGTTACCTGTGGTACTTCAGGAATACTGTCACTGGGCTAGAAGGGTGATACTGGCGAAACGGATGTCAGATCAATCATCTTCAAATACTGTTCGACACCACCTCACACGTGGAGAAGATTGCCAGCTCCGTTGAATTCAAGATCAAATGCATGAGGCCCATCGTCAGTTGGGCTTAAAGGTGTCGTCGGAGCCCGTGAACTTAGAACGCGTTTCCAGCGGCCGAGACGGCCAATAGTTCTGACGACTGCACGAGACAGAGGCGAGGTATGGTGGACAGGCATTGCTGACGGAGCACTGACGAGTGGAAGAGCCGCACCTGGTTGAACTGTACGAGCATGTTGTAATATTGTCAAATGAAGAGGTTGCTGTAGCAATATCCGGGATGCAGGCTTGCTCGGACGACTGGGCGGAGCAACGCTCGTCTCCGAGCCAGGTTGGGTAGCGCCAATCGAAGACGGTGCGTCCCCAGGACCAAGCTGATTTGCAAAAGATGCAAAACCTTGTACACCAGCGGCATCAGAGAAGGGCGAGCTCTCATCCGGATTAAAGTCCAGATCAACGTCGGAGTCCTCTTCCTCATACTGTGTAGCGCTAACTTTGCGGAGCGTTGCAGCGAAGTTAACTCCGTTCGAGAGATCTCCCAAGATCTTGTCGATCGACTGCATAACCTTTCCCTTCTTCTCGGGCTCCTTACGGGATTTGGTCACGCGTGAATGAGCATCCTTGCAATCCTTCGCTACCTTCTTCAGCTTTTTGACGATATAGAATTAGTATCTAATAATAGGTGATGTATAAATCACGCGCACCCTAGCGTCATTATATTTATCGATAGAATCTCTCCATAGCGTGTTCAACCAGTTTGCGAACAATAAACACAGCTCATAGTTGGGTAGGAAATCGATGCGGAAGAACGTGAGTAACCAATATCGAATGGCAACAAACGTCCGTACGCGCACGATTTGTTTCACCATGACCTCATGTGAAGTCATTGGCTCCTCGAGTGCCCAGTGAAAGCGACATATTAGCAGATGACATAAGTCGACCGAATCGATGTATGTCCGATATGTCAAGTAGAATATCAGTAGTTCGTCATAGTCGAATTGGCTCGTGAGCTGTGCTATCCACCGCTCGATCGTCGCCGCCATAAGCACACGTTGCGCATTTTCCGCACCGTCAGCACTTGAGCCGCCCTCAGATCCGCGCTCCGGGCGAGCACATCGACGATGGCTAGGAAATGGCAAGGATTCCCCGGTAATATTCGGACATGAAGGGTGGCCGAGTTTCCGAGCTGTCGCTGACAGAGACAAAAGTTAAATCAGTCGACCGATAGATGTAGAGTAGAGGAAGTGTACGCACGGGTCGACCGGCCTTTTGACTACACAGTTCCGATCGCAAGATGGGCATATGTTATCAATACCTCACATAAAGACCACGATGATTGAGGTAGTGGCGAGAGGTAACAGTACAAACTAGAAGCGCTGAGCCGAGCTAAGAAAAAGAAGAGACATGTTACTGATTGTGAACAAGAAAAGTGAGCGCTAATACGTTCGCTGCGCAGCGCAGCTGACCGGGGTCAAGGGCAGAACAGGACAAGTTCATCTTATCAAAGTATCCAGTTTACAGAGTCAGAACGCTTCAAGCAAAGTATAAGGTGTGATTTGACATACATTTTGAACATGGTCTTGACCTCTTGAGGAGTAGCGATGTTGCACATAAGAATGCGAGGTAAAGTGTGTGAACTAAACGTGAAGGACCTCTTGTCCGTTTATAGAAATGATTACACTACTGCTTATTTAATGATACAGCTTTCAAACAGTTTCCGCAAGCGTATAAAAAGCATACTATTTATCATTCAATACAATAACACTTTGTTTTCAACGCATACAGGTAGAGTAACTACATAACTGAAATAACATAATCAACTATTTTGAAAAAGGGGGAGGATGGGTCCTTCAATGCATGAGTAAATGACGATTCTTCATCAAAAATCAATTCTGTCTTCGCCTTTGTCGCTTCAACGATCTTTCGAACACCATAGTGCCTCTGGGACTTTGTCCTCTTGCACCCGTAATGGATCTGAGAACGAGTTTGCATACAATCGTAATAAGGGGGAGGCGAGGATTCATCCAGATACCAAACTGTATTGATGGTCTCATCGTCTTTATCGACCGGGAAGAACTCTGATGGAACCGTTATCGTCGTGCGCCTTTCCACAAATTCGAACTCGATGACACTGTTTGTCTCGGAAGGCGAAAATGTCATGAGGCCAAAGATACTAGCAGCGGGCCCACATTGCAAGAGGTAATCCACGACTTCCTTTGCAAATTCAGGATACTGGCCCGGGTCACGGCCTGCAGGAACGG